AATGATGTTTGCTCCATGCAACTGTATATAATATTTAGAGTAATGATTAACAAGCTAAAGTAATAGATGTCCCACACTTGCATCGTTGTGTCAAACTAAACTAATCAAAGTAAATACCGATAGTGAGGTCGATCCTCTCTGGGTGCCAAACTTACTAAATATTCTAATTTGTACTTTTAGCATATAACGGACATTATTATGTAACTGTTGCATGTTCGCAATGCATAATTTCTTGTCCAGCTTTCCGATGTTCTAAAGCAGATGAGGAGAAAGCTGAGGCAAAAATGGCGGCGGTGGTTTTATTGTATCACGTTTAATGGCGTCGTCAAGATATTGTTAGCTGCTCGTCACAAAGAGACCCTCAGCAGCTATCAGTTGATCACAATTGATTATAAATTGAAGTAAAAATCGGCATTTATTGAAACCGAATTAACACTTAACACCGGCAGAGATAAGCCGGCGAGTGAGCGTAGACGGACGCACTTTTCCTCTTCCTTCTCCTCTTGGTCTTCCTTTCCTCTCCTCCCAACTACAACAATCGCCATCTTTCTCTCTTGCAATTTGTTTTCTTTATGTGTCCCAGTTTCTTTCATTTCTTTGTTTTTCTTTCTGCCTTTTTCTTTTGTCTATCAATTTAATTGTTTTTATTTGCCATCATCATACATCTTTCATTTCCTTTTCTTTTTTAATAATTTCTTTTTTATTTTGATTTTCATTCTTCCATCTTTCTTTTCCTTTCGTCTTCCCTTGGTTTTAACGCCATTTTGTTTTGTCTTTGATTTTCACTTTCTACTAATGATTTTCAGAAATTTATTCTTCCTTTGTATGTCTTTCTCTTATTAATGTATTAATTATTTTCTTTCTTCGCCACAATTCGTTTTTTCTCGTCAAAATTCACTTTCACAAATTCATACCTACTTCTATCCAATCATTCAGTATCTTTTTAGCATCTTTTTCTTCTTCTTCTTCTTCTTCTTCTTCTTCTTCTTCTTCTTCAGGACTCTTCATCATTCTTCTCCTTCTTCACTATTCTTGTTCTTCTCATTCTTCTTCTTCAGTATTCTTCCTCTTCGTTCTTCTTCTTCAGTATTCCATTTCTCCTTCAGTATTCCTCTTCTTCTTCATTTATTCTTCTTCAGTACCCTTCTTCTTCACTGTTCTTCTTCTTCATGTTCTTCTTCTTCAGTTTTCTATTTTTTCTTCTTCAGTATTCTTCTTTTTGTTCACTATTCTTCTTCTGCTTCTTCTTCTTCAGTATTCTTGTTGTTGTTGTTCTTCAGTATTCTTCCTCTACTTCTTCCATATTCTTCTTCTTCAGTATTCTATTTCTTCTTCTTCGGTATTCTTCTTCTTCTTCAATATTCTTCTTCTTCTTCCGTATTGTATTTCTTCTTCAGTATTCTTCTTCTTCACTAATCTTCTTCTTCATTATTTTTCTTCTTTTTCTTTGGTATTCTTCTTTTTTCCTTCATTGCCATCTCTATATCATTATCATTATTTTCTCTTATTTTCTCTCGTTCTTTTCTTTTCCAATCACACACATTCTTTTCTTTTCCTTTTCTTTTATTCTTCTTTTCTAAATTTTCTCTTTCAACGGACATGTGTATGCAACACTAAAAACACGCGTAATTGCCAGTGTACGCCCGTGTAATAGTTTCATCTACATGTCTTTGATTATGGCCGCCAATAATGAATACTATAGGACTTCTAATTTTCTCTGGGTTACTTCACAGTAAAGGTTGAATAAGTCTGCTAGAATGCACTGTAATGACAAAAGTACACAGGTGTAGGCTTTAAGAAAGCTTTATTCAACTGAAAATACAAGATTCGCGTATAGTAAGTGTCTTTTTATAGTCCCAGCAAACAAGAATAGCTCTCTCAAAAAGGTGAGTAAGAAACAAGGGGAGACCACTCTTGATTATTCATAACAGGCACATCCTTATCTTACACCTCTTTCTAATTTTGTATATTTACTGAATTCATTTTCTATCTACATAAGTTTGTTCCCAGTATAAGTTCTGGATTATTCTAACATCCTTACCAAATAAATCAAGCTTACCTAGCAGTTCAAATAGTTCTTTGTGACGTATTTTATCAAACGCTTTTGCATAATCTCTAAAACATATGTATACATTCTTTTGCATTTGTATTGCTCTTTCAAAACTTCATGTTTTGCATGTATCATCTGTTAAAACTATTCTTTGTTTTTCTTTATCTCTTTGGGGAGGGGGTCTGTGTTCTTTTTAACTACTTGTAAGTATAAGTATAACAAAGTTAACAGACTACATTTACCTAAAAAATGTTAATTTTGAACCAGAAGGATCAGCTTGAGCAGTGGTAGATATCATTGCTTATGATAGATAGATAGATAGATAGATAGATAGATAGATAGATAGATAGATATGAACATATCGAGATAAATACATAAATATGAACAGATCGAGATAGATAGATAGATAGATAGATAGATAGATAGATATGAACAGACCGAGATAGGTAGATATGAACAGATTGACATAGATAGATAGATAGATAGATAGGAGGAGAGAGAGAGAGAGAGAGAGAGAGAGAGAGAGAGAGAGGAATCTACCCATGCCTTAAAAAAATGACAGTATCGTATCTACTGATGTTTAAGTCGATTAAAATATAATACCCCCATGTCATCTTTTATTTGAGAAATCGACAGAATTCGAGACCCGTATATAAGTCGAGGCGACTATTAACACATTTTTGTTCAGATTGTGTGGTTTTGTAAATTTCCACGAGTGGAGAATATTTTATGAAATTTTAATATTTTCATATTTGAAAGGTTTCTAAATGTCATTTAGAGAGTATATTTTTTTGTTTCATAACTTCATTACACAATGATTTTTTTCTACTTCATGTTTTATGAAGTTTCAAAAAGTTTTTTATCCAAAATTTTGTTTACTTTCTGTTAGTAGCGTAGCGAAAATTAACTTTAATATTTAGAATTTACAAAATAAAAATGAAAAAAAAAACACGTGTTTCATTGACAATTTTTCAATTTAAAATCCTTCAAAGCCCCGTGCCTTGAGTACCTATTCGGACTTAAACTCAACCCAGACATCGTACATATGATCTGTCGTTGGGTACTTCGACGTGGTGTAATGGTTCGCAAGTCTCGCTAAATCAATTACGACTGAATGGTGAGTTCGATCCTCACTGGGCGCCCCATACTTTCTATGCTTAGAAAATCACCATATGATCTATCGCTAAAGATGCTGAAACAAAATGATCGTTTCCCTGTACAGCTCCAGTAAGTACGTGGATCCTCTTCCTGTTATCCTCTACCTTTACAAGAGCCAGATCAGGCCGAAAATGGAAGTACTGCAGCCATATTTGGACAAGAGCTGTCCAATAGACCCTTTCCAATCTCGATAGATACCAAAAAGCACCACGGTGTCCTTGCGGGTGACGAATTATTTTCCACCCTACAACCGTCCCCCCCGCCACAGACAAAACATCGTCTCTCGCTGCCCTATCGCCATTTCCATAGAAAGTGTTCAGACGAACAGCATTCCTTAGTTGCACCAGTTGCAACCTTCACAGTTAAGACTCGCCATACTATGCACATTGTAGCGAACCACCCTTATACCCTTTCGTATTTCATTGTTGGTTCCACCAATGGTAAGTTCCACTCGAGTAGCTTTTTCTCCACGAACCGCTGCTTTGTGGAACAGACTCCCAAGAGGATGCTTCCCCGATGACTACAATCTTAACCTGTTCAAGTGTAAGGTCAACCGTTATCTTCCTCACGTATCCCCATAAACTGTGCCTCTTACTCTGTAACCCTCGACCTCGAATGGCTGTTGGGCCTCGTACAGGATGATCATTATTATTTTAAAAAATCTCTAGATATATGGGCGCTTTTTTTGCATAGATGCTGAAGTTGATGAAAATCAGCAAAATATTTACCTCCACTATAAGCCTACCCACTGCTCATTTTATCATCGATTTTATTTGTCACATATATCTTGGTTTATGTATGTGTATATACGGTACACATGTAATTGCAATCGGCCGAGTGGTTAGAACGTTCGCATTCTGACCATGAGACCCGGGTTCGAATCTCACAATGGTCGATTTTTCAGGAAGGAGTCTTCCTGATGTTATCGGACTGGAGGGGTCGATCCCAGCTTGTGGCACCTTTGGAAAGTGCCTGAAAACCATACCACGGGTTTCTGGGTGAAATTAGGTAGACGGAAGCCTTGAGTGCCATCGGTAGCTGTGCTAGCACGAAGTCACAAGTCATCGTGACTGAGGGTTTGAGCGTGCTGGCCTTATTCAAATTGTTGATCACCTTGTTTAAATTGTAGATAACACGCTCTTTCCCAGAAACTGTAACTAATATATACTCAGCATAGTTGCAGTATAAACCACAGGTGGGCTCTGTGGGTGTTGAATAAACACAAATGTGCCTGAGCAAGCGTCTGCAATAGGGATAGGCTAGCCGCCTTTAGTAGACGGGTATCCTTGAATACGAGTGGCCATCTATATATGTAATTGATATTTTGTTACTAGTCATTACTATTATTATTGTTTTCACGTATAAGTCTTTAAAAATATTTTCCAGTTATTAATATGGTATTAGGGCTCAGTCTATCCTTCTATTTATCTATAGCTGGGAGGAGGAGATGGATTCATACTTTTCCCAAGGGTATTAGCACGTAAGTGAATGCAATGAACTCGACTGGAATTCGAACTCAGCCGTTCTCTAAAACTCCATATGTAAATAATACCATTGTATGAATTCTAAACTTTATATAAAATGCTGACATTTTTTCCTTTAAAATTCTTTTAAACTGCCTTTATATTTTGAAAATATTAATTAAAATTGGTTTACTTTTTGTTCTACAGACTTTTGCCACGCCTGTTGCCATACGACAAGCCTGTCGGAAGTAATCTCCTCTCGACGTGATTTGTCTCACACTTCTTTGATCTCAATGCGTGGGAGTTGGATAGGGAAGTCAAATGTGATCATGGCCAGTGATTCACCCTCAGTGGGTATGAAACCCCCAGATAACTCGCCTCTAGATGAACGCTTCTATCCACTGGCCATGAGGCACAAACTCCTGGCTGTTGACCGTGAATTAATTCAACAACATCCAGGACTGGAGATCCATTCGGGCAGCGTACTGAACTCGGCAAAACGACCTACAAATGGCATGTTTCGACCTTACAGTCCTGAGACAACGTACTGTTCTGATGGACACGTCGATTCCGGGAAGGAAGAACCTTTTGGAAGTCCAGTGTATTCAGTGTCAGATAAAGATGGTAGAATGTTGTCTGGCAGCAACAAGACCGGTCTAGACAGTAAATGCGGCGGTCTGAGAGTCGATGTCGGCGAGCGACAGGTTATTGAAGAAATCACCAAACGAGAAGGCGGCGAGCAAGACGTGTGTTGTATACGGCGCGAAGACAAGGACGACGCTAAAAAGGTTCTGAGCGTGAGGGAGGAGAGTGAGGACCGTGAGATTGACAAGGGAGAGTGTGCAGACAAAAAATGCCCCGGCGGCGAAGTGGGACCCGATTGTGACGTCGAAGAATTCGGGAAACGAAAACAAAGACGATATCGAACTACTTTTACAAGTTACCAACTTGACGAACTCGAAAGAGCATTCCAAAAGACACACTACCCGGACGTGTTCACAAGGTAAGTAATTTTATATCTATTATTATGCATAAAGTTGTCCCTCTTTATCCGCGGAAGATATATTCAATAAATTCCAGCGGATTCCTGAAATTGTAGATAATATCGAACGCTAACATTATCACAGGTATGCATAAAATAACTGAAAACAAAAGTGGCGGGAAACTGAATTAAATCGGCTAACTCTAAAGAAGTGATTACCGTATATACTCGCGTACCATGCGAGTTTGAAGACCTAATTTTGAAGCTAATTTTAAGAGGGTCGCATCATACACGAGATATAAAAATTAGACTATGTACTGCTGGCCCAGGCTACGCCGTTGACCAGACTATATATTCATTTACTGTAAACAAATTAGCTTCAAAATTAGGTGTTCAAAGGTCGCATGGTACGCAACTATATACGGTATATCAGTAGTGAAATATCAAATACTAAAAGCATATATAGAAATGAACTGGAAATGATTTTAAAATAAGAACTCATTTCAATTATTTATTAATCAAATAAGTTAGATTCACGACGTTTCAGCCGTTGTACGCTCCGGCCTTACTCAGGTGATATACGTTGGAATTTCAAACCGAACCCTTCGAATCACCTGAAGAAGGCCGCAGCGTACAACGGCTGAAACGTCGTGAATATGACAACAAAGATGAGGGCAAAAGTTCGAACAATGTAAATAATTACAATGCCTCATTTCAGAAATATTGACAAATGTCAGATTATTCACTCAGTAGAACGGCTATTCTGTGGAAAAGGCTCCCGCGTAGATATTGCCCAAGCATTACAATCTTAACTTTTTCAAGTCTACGGTCAATCTTTATCTAACTTATATATCCTCATAATCTTCCTACTACTCCTTTACGTTCATATCCCAAACCTAATTCAGTAACCCTCTACCTTGAATGGCTTTTGGGCAATGAATTGGGTGAACATTAGTAAAAAAAAAAAAAAGTCTAACGATTGCATATATACTGACACAGCAAATGTTAAAAGTATGCCATTGGTGTGCTGCTAAAACGGCGTAAGTGCATTTTTGTGAAATTGGAAAAAAAACCTATAAAATAAAATAAAAAATCAGAATAAAAAGGCATATTATGTTTTCTTTTTAAAATTGGGGCCAAACTTCACAAAATGCCTTTGTATCAGAATATTGCTATATGTTATCTTATAGAAATCAGTTTCCTCATTCCAATCGTGGAAAACATTTAAAAAGGGTGTAGGTCAACTTATGTTCTTTTAAAATCAGACTGACGTTATATTGAAATGTATTGGAAGTGATTTTACTATAGGAATGCATTAAAATTATTTATTAAATAAATATGTCAAAACTTTCATTCCCTGTAATGATTACATATAGAAATACATTGGAAATGATTTTGCAAAAAAGAATGCATTACAGTTATTTATTAAACAAATACGACAAAAATTTAAGTTAATTTAAAACTTACTTATCCAAAAATACAACAAATTCTATCAGGAAGAGAAAAAAATGAAGTAATTACGACATTTCTAGCACCGACAACATTTGAATCCATTATTAATAGGTAAGGTTTTAGTTCTTTCATGTCCTTAATCCATTAAGAATCCATTATTCATAGGTAAGGATTTAGTTCTTTCATGTCCTTAATCGGCTGCTACACGACTTTGAGTTTGTCCGTTTCTGCTATAACAAACTTATTCTTCAGTCTGTCTATATTTCTGAGATGAGGTATTATGTACATTATTTACATTATTCGGACTATTGTCCTCATCTTTGTCGCCATATCTATCACTTCGTTTTCGGTCGTTGTACGCTCTCGTTTCCCTTCTTCAGGTGGTTGGAATTTCGAACTGAACCTTTTATTTCGATCACTGGGTTGAACTGTCCTAGTTCCATGTGCCATGTTTGATGGATGTCAGTTATCAGTTATCTCCTGTTAATTTCCTTCTGAAAGTTCTCCCTGCCTGTAACCGGGTATCAAGGACCCTTTTAACAGTGGATAAAGGCGTTGGTTAGATCCAGTGACAGGACCCAAAAGTGTGAGTTCAATACCCGGTTAAGGCGGTGGAGAACTTTCAAGTGGGCGGTTGGGGAGATAACTGATAACTGACATCCATCAAACATGGCACGTGAAACTAGAACAGTCTACCCCAGTGAGCGAAATAAAGGGTTCAGTTCGGAATACCAACCGCCTGAAGAAGGCCGGAGCGTACAACGGCCGAAACGTTGTGATAGATATGGCGACAAAGATGAGGATAATAGTCCGAATAATGTAAATAATAAACTTATTCTTACTCATAACAAAAATGTGTTTGATGTTTGTTTAACGGTTTATCAACTCCTTATAAGCCATTTAATACCAAAATTTAATTTTGCAAGGAGCATTAGTGATTTCTTTTAAAAAAATGTATTATTGGTAATTTACCATAAAATTTGTTATACTTTCATCGTGTTTTGACTCCAATTTGGGGTTAACTATGTGTGCATAGCTGGGACCCTGACAAGTCCTACCATCCAGATAAGGGTAGATCTGGCAACAACAGCAATTAAGAGGCCTTTCTACCGGATGTAGTTTCTCGTCATACCCAGGACAGAAAAAAAAGAAAAAGTAGCTTTCGGGTTAAAACAATATAAATTACTGTTACTTTAATCAAAATATATTTGCGAAACATTTACATTTAATTAGAAAATGTAGTTTATCAACAAACAAGTGAAAATTTTAAGCTTTTAATTGATTAATTTAAACAAACATTGAAAAAAGCATTTTTTGGTTGGTCATAAAGATAAGACCATGTGTGAAAAAAAGAAATTACTGGACACAAATTTTAGAACTAGTCATTGTGTTCATAGCTTCAGGCGTGTAGACATTTACGTAGCTCAATTCCAGTATTAAATTTCAGAATTTAAAATGGCTAAGGACAAAATTTTAACAAAGTTCGAACAGGGCAGGATTGTTGAACTTCAAAGACGTGGTCTTTCGCAACGAGCCACTGCAAATGAAATTGGTCGTAGCAGAACTGTCATTGTTAACTTCATTAAAAATCCGGGTGCGTATGCTTCTAAAAATACAAGCGGCCGTCCCAATAAAATCTCACCATCTTTAGACAGATGCATTAGTCGAGAAGTTAAGAGAGATTCAAGCCTAATATTAAATCAGAGAAAAGCGAATACAGATGCTGCATGCAGCTCTCGAACAATTCGACGGCATTTAAATAAGAAAGGGTTTAAGAACTTGAAATGGCTGCCGAGGCCTCGACTTCTTCTTCACCATAAAATCTCTCGTTTACAATTTGCTTCCGATTATCAAACTTGGTATGTGGATAAATGGAAGAAAGTGTTGTTTTCAGACGATAAAATATTCAAACGGTTTTCAGCGTTACTGACATGCAAAAGATGTCCCAAAAGAAATTTTCTCAACACGACGCAGTGGTGATGGATCAATTATGGTCTGGGGTTCATTTTCGTACAATGGAACTCTTGAGTTACAGGAGGTAAAAGGTCGTCAGGCAGCTGCTAGTTACACTGACATGTTAAGAAAGGCATCGCTAATTACTGAAGGCTCTCATCTATGTGGAGAAAACTGGATTTTCCAGCAGGACAATGCTGCAATCCACAGCGCTCTCCAGATCGAAACCCAATCGAAAATGTTTGGAGATGGATGACAAAGGTTGTTTATAAACATGGATCGCAATTTGAAACTGTGGATGCTCTTCGTGCTGCAATTTATGCATCCTGGGCGAGCATCCCAAGCATCCTTATGCAGAAGTTAATAATGAGTATGCCAAAGCGAATTTTCGAAGTAATTTACAAAAATTGTTGGGACTTATTTGTTCTGTATCTGCTATTTTTATTTACATGGTCTTATCTTTATGACCAATAAAAAAAACATATTTTTAATGTTTATTTAAATTAATCAATTAAAAGCTTAAAATGTTCACTTGTTTGTTGATAAACTGCATTTTCTAATTAAATGTAAATGCTTTGCAAATATATTTTGATTAAAGTAACAATATTTTATATTTTTTTAACCCTTTGTATCTGGTCTGAAAATTTTTACCTAGGTGTGTATATATATATATATATATATATATATATATATATATATATATATATATATATATACTTTTAAATATAAAGGAAGCCCATAAGGATGCATATTTTCTAGAGCTGAAAATGCTATAATGAGAGTAGTACTTGTGTAGTAGTACTTAGGAATTGATAAATAGATACATAACATGAAGCTAAAAAGCACCTATTGACATGACTGTCCTTGGGAAAGATAGCGGAGTGGATTCCTGTACGCTTTCTCCACTGTGTTGACCAGAGAGTTGCACTTTGCTTAGACTGGTTGCCTTACCGACGCTAGACAGTTGAGTCTACCCTATTATTAAACTTATATAAATATATATAACATAAATATATAAAATATCAATTTAATTCTTCGTCACTTAATGTAACAAGTGTAGCTAATTTGAACTCATTGAAAAGTCTTAATTAAATTGACATGTTCGGGACGTTCTGAAAAGTCAGCAGTCTAATTATATATATATATATATATATATATATATATATATATAAGGTAATGAAGGGTTTAGTAATTTGTGTGGATAATTCCAAAGAGAATGTAATCCATAGAGCTCAATGTAAAATCAGAGCAAATATTAATTAAATAATTAAGAATGAGACAACCTTAAGGTTCCATGGCTATAATTTATTTCCCCAGAAAATATCTTTTTCCTGGTTCATCAGGTCACATCTCTAGTTACAAAGGAATTTAGTTTCTTGTGACCTGATGAACCAGGAAAATATATTTTCTGAGGAAATAAATTATAGCCATGGAACCTTAAGGTTGTTCTTTTTAATTATTTAATATTATATATATATATATATATATATATATATATATATATATATATATATATATATAGAATAGACGTAAATTCTATGCTAACATTTTCTTACCTGGAACTTCTCGTTTATGGAACTCCCTCACGATTCCATGCTTTCCAGCCAACTTTTAGT